AAACAAGACTTTATTTGACTGATGAACCCAAAGAGTCAGTATCTTGGTTGGTGTCAGCTGGCTGAGCTGATGGAGATTCAGCTGTAGAAATGTGGATTATATGAATGAATGAGAAAATGATGTGAACATGATCATCAAAACTAAAGATACTAGATGGCTAAAAGTAGGAAATCAGTGTGTTGTTTCATATTGTTCTTGCCAGAATATACTATAGCTGGCTCCTGCATGTCTGCCTGTGGGTTTTTCAATTTTACTGCAAACTCTCACACTCTACATTGCTACTAGGTAGCATCTGTCTTTATTTTTCTTTGTGTTTTCTGATGAAACACCGAGACAGTTGGCTTTCTCTTTGGTGTGCTTGCTGCTCTGTGCTTTCAGTTTGTGTTGTGGTATTTTCCTTTCTTTTATATGATTTTTCTAGGCTGTCTCCGAACAGTTGCTCCATGCAGAAGTGCCATCCACTTCTCCTTTTGCCCCGCTTCTCCTCTCTCTCCTCCATCTCCTCACCTGCCTTCAGCAAGGTCTCCAGTTTGCGGCGGTTTCGATCCATTAACGTCTCTTTACTGTTTCAGCTCTTTTCTTTAAAAAGCGCAGAACCTCGCCCTTCCAAATCTTCTCTCTGCAGTTTCTAACAACTAAACTCTTGGGTTCCATTTTAGCCTCTCCTGGCCTCACTCCCTCCTGCTCTGTTCTGACTTCTCACTGTACCCATGGCAAATTTTGTTTGTTGTTGGTGGACATATGARTTTGTTTGTGTCTTCTGTGTTTGTTGTTTTGTCATTGTTGTGTTGTATTGTTGTTGTGTTGTGTTCCCCCTTTCCCCTCCCTCCCTCCTAAAACTCATCAACCTCCTCCTCACACTAACCCTATACCTGACATATTCAATGTTGGTGTCACCCTCTTCCATCCACATGGTACCCACCCCTCACACCCTGTGTTCATCCTCTTGCATCCACATTCCTCTCCTCTGTCTGTGTCTGTCCATTTTGCGATATGAACTCAGAAGACATGGACTCACCAAGTTGGACGAACTCAGGTCTGTTTCTTCTTCTTTTTTTCTGACTCGACGTCCACTCTTCTACTTTTATCCTCTCTGTTCATCTTTCTGCTTGCTCTCCTCCACCCGCCTTCCTTCATCTCAGCTGCTTTTTCTACAGTTTTCCTGCTTTGCCTGGCTCCATGTTCTTGTGCTCTATGTCCTTTTTTATGTTGGTCTTTAGACGGCGCTGCCGGCTTCTCTGTCATGTCTCTGACTTTACTTTGCTGTGGACAAACTGTGTGAGCGCAACGTTCACAAAAGCATGATTGAGATGTTGCCACATTGTTTTTTCTAGAGCAGGCATTGACATAAGACATGTGGTCTTCTTTAGGTTAATGTCCCTATAGCCGCATATTTGCACAGTAGTCTCCCACAATTTGTAACCTGTTAAAGTAGACCCATACAAACAACCACAGTCGAAACAGTTTTGAAGAAACTTTGGAGTAGGCCTGTCACGTTAAACTATAAATCAATTAATTGCACAATAAGTTAAAATGAGGTTGATCATTTTTATTTTCCTGCTTGTTTTCTTTGTGTCTCCATGTTTTCTACTCCTTTACGTGGGAAGGAGTGTATTTGTCAGGTGCATGGTCTCTAACCTCTGTAGCATGAGAGCCCTGTGAACATGCATTTAGCCAGAGGAGCATATTCAGTTTTACGATGGCTTCTTCTTGCTGGCATCGTGCCAAACATTGGGTTTGCTGGAGGTGTTTTTGTTTTGATTTGTTTTTTTACACTACCATATGTAAATCTCGTAAAACTCCGCAAATTTTGGAAGTGGCGTGAGTTATTTTATGAAGCCAGAGGAAGACAGAATAAATTGTGCCGGCTTGGATAGAGGAGGTGGGAAGTCATTTCATAGCTTCAGTAGCTGTTTTTTTTTTCTCTCTACTCTGGTCCAGGTCAGTTCGTACTTTTTTTTAACCTATTTAAATTTCCTAAACTTCTGTCAGCTTTGTAAGCCAAGGGGCATTATAATAGTTTAAAATGGTCCCCAAACAATATATTATTGTTTATCGTGATCATTTCTAAAACAATTTATTGTAGCAAAAATAGTTATCTTGACAGGTCTACTTTAGAGTTCTTAGAGATGCTTATTAAATAAAGAAAAAAAAAAGAAAAAAATTGTATAGGTCTTCTGGACGGGTTCTTCTCTAATGAAACGTTTCGTCTCTCCTCCAAGAGACTTCTTCAGTCTGAGAGTTTCAGGCAAAATTCAGGCTTTTAAGCCCTGCCTCCATGTGACTGATACTCACATCACATGGCTATCGTTGACACCTAATTAACACCTATTGTTTACAGGGGGTGGAGTGATACTGGCAATAGCCGCACTGTAGGAGGGGGACAACTGAAAACGGAGGCCTCCACCTCTGTTTAATGATGGACGGTCTTTCTTCACAGAAATGGCTTCTTTTACTCCTCTCTCAAACCAACGTTCCTCTCTAACAAGAATGAGAACATCCTCATCTCTGWAAGAGTGACCGCTGGCCTGTAAATGAGTGAAAACTGCAGAGTTCTGGCCATTAGACGTAGCTCTTCTGTGTTGGGACATTCTTTTGAACAGTGGCTGCTTTGTTTCCCCGATGTATAACTGGTCGCAGTCCTCCTGGCACTTAACAGCATATACAACATTGCTCTCTTTGTGCCGGGGCACCAGATCTTTGGGACGAACCAGTCTTTGCCGTAATATGTTTTGGGGTTTGAAAGCCACTGGGACATCATGTTTAGAAAATAAACGTCTCAGTTTCTCCGAAACKCTCGCAACATACGGAATAACCGGAATGATAATAATAATAATAATACAGAATAATTGATTTGAGAGAGGAGTAAAAGAAGCCATTTTTGTGAAGAAAGACCGTCCATCATTAAACAGAGGTGGAGGCCTCCGTTTTCAGTTGTCCCCCTTCTACAGTGCGGCTATTGCCAGTATCACTCCACCCCCTGTTAACAATAGGTGTTAATTAGGTGTCAACGATAGCCATGTTATGTGAGTATCAGTCACCTGGAGGCAGTGCTTAAAAGCCTGAATTTTGCCTGAAACTCTCAGACTGAAGAAGTCTCTTGGAGGAGAGACGAAACGTTTCATTAGAGAAGAACCCGTCCAGAGGACCTATACAATTTTTTTCTTTTTGATTTTTTACCTGGATTACTGAGATGCATCAGGACACTTATTATATAAACTTAGTAAAAAACTGGTTTATTTTCCAAATGAAAGGAGCCTTCTGTTAAGGAAAGCATATAGTCTATCATCTTGCATGTTAAAGTTAGCTCTCAAAGTATGTGTTGGGAATGACTCTCTGCTACTATCATATCACATCAAAGTTTAGCTCATTATTGAGTCATAGCCATTGTTGTGTTGCCTTAAGATGATTAACTGTGATGTCATCTTTAAATGGATTGACTCATAAAAGTGAATTAGTTGTAGATGTACCTCCAAATATTATTTTCTGAGAGTTTTAATCAAATACGTTAAGTGGTTATTGAGATGTTTTGCTAACAGACAAACATGGATGCAGACACGGGCAGTTGCATGATCACCCAGCTGCAGGCAGTAAATGACAGTAAATTTATTTGTACATTACTCCATTTTTGTAAGCTGTTAAGGTGATGTTGTCGGTCACAAGTTTTAAAAATGTTTCCATTGTTCTCCTTCTAGGTAAAGGTCAAACTTCAGTTTTAAACCTTTTTACAAACAGAAAAAATAGCTTTAAATTACATCTGAGAAAGAAACCTTTGCTTTTCTTAAATTTCAGTTCTTTTAATGATAAATATCTCTAATCACCGTATGTAAATAATTGCTGTCAGTGTGAATGTTTAATTTAAAAAATGCTTGCATGAACCTCCATATAGTATTTGTTGAGATTGGGGTTGTTCTAKGAGCTTGTAAACTGACCCCAGTTTCAGTAGCTGTTTGTACTCTGTGAGGATTTCCCCCTGATTCTCCAGACTGTCGGTTCTGATTGTTGTCTGCAGGGATGGTAACTTCACACAACCCACCTTATAAAATTGATTTTATTTTTTAAACTCATGTGAACATTTCCTCTTCTATGACCTTCAAGATAAAACCAACACGTTAAACACATCTTTTATACTTTAACTGATACAAAAAAATCAATTTTCCCTTGCTTATGCAGGGTTTTGTCTGCTTTAGCTTGTATTTCCTTTGTGTGTGTGTGTGTGTGTGTGTGTGTGTGTTTGTATGTACGTACAGTATGTGTGGATGGATGGGTGTGTGTTTGTTCATGCAAATTGTATTTGTGCATGGCACCTGTTTGTGTGCGTTTACATTTGCTTAATCATTATCTTCATGTGACACAGAAGTAAAGACAAAGGGCAAACTGAGGTGATTGGAAGTGTTGCAGCCAGAGAGCCTTTAGGTTCTAGTAGAAAGTGTTTGGTTGTGAGTTGTCATTTTTGTTTAATCATAAAGGGAAATGTGTTTTAGCAGTGGTAATAGWTGCATCTAAGCTCATCCTGATTACAAGAAATTGCATCTAAATGCACAAAGAACAAAATGCATTAAAGGGCAGAGTCTTATATTTTAAAGGTATGGAATGGTTAAACAAGATGAAGGAATGATTTCAAGTATTGCATTTTGGTAAATTTAAAGTTGTATTTGTTGTCAAAGAAATATCTGTTTTCTCATTCTGATCCTGATATTAGTATAGGACTAATGCACTAAATTTAACAAACAATATTTCAGTGACATTAGGTCTGGGATTTGAATAATTAGAAAGAAAATAGAAGGATATATTCTGCAGCTTATCTATACAAATWTGTATGTATTTTTTTTTTGTTATAACAGCCAACCATTCAGCTTTTCCCATTAGATCTGTCCTTGTCATGGCTTACGGCTCATAGCTCAGCTGAAGCTTGTCTCTCATCACAACAATTTTCTCCTCCTTCAGACTCTTCTCATAATATCTGTTCCTATGTGACCGAGATCTGTCTCTGTGCTCAGGTATGGACATGGAGGAGAAGACCAGGCAGATGAAACTAAAGATGAACAAATACAAGCACGGGGCAGGCTCTGACTCCAGGCTGGAACAGGACTACCACAAGGTAAAAACGTCCAAATACACTGGATGCTAGACTCAGTACATCAGGTTAACACAGAACTACACATACTAAAGCATACACAATGCATGTGCAGTTAGGTTTGCTTAAAGTCAGCATGTACAAACTTTAAACAAGTTCAAAAGTGGACAAACATTAGGTAAACTGTTTATTTTATAGACATGCTTGTTATTTCTTCATATTACAATTTATATGTATTTAACACAAGGACCTGCTGTGCAGGTCCAAATTCAAAATAAAATCTTTTAGCTGAAAATCAAAAGACCCAAAAAATGAAATTTGATGTCCACAGCAGACAATACTGGATGTATTGTCTTGATTAAGACAAAGAAAAATCTAAAAAGTAAATACTGTAAAAGATTCCACAGAGGTGCCATCTTAATGTATTGGAGGGGTTGAGAACCTTGGTGAAACAGAGGGCTGTGACGTCGGGGGCATCAGCCTCTGGTAGGYACTCCCATGGCAAACAGGTCTCAGATCAAAATAAGAGCAAATTAAAAGCCTTGATGGTCAAAACAATATGTATCTGAATATGTCTCTCGTAAAAGGAAAACCAGAGCGACTTTGTGAAGCCAGGCCAAGGGAAGGCCCGCCAAGGAGCGCCTGGAGGTTGAGTCTTGACTTCTGAGGCTCTGAAAGAAAAACAGGGTCCACCACGTGCAAGGACTGTCAAGATTGGGTACGATGCAAGCCAATTGGCAAGCAAGTGAGGATCCATGGCCATGATGATTCCTGGTGGGGTTGATTAGCTCTAGGAATATAGATTGTCACTTTACTGGTGGCTAAAGAGCAGAAACTTGTTTGTGAGGTTGAGCGATACTAAGGTCGTATTCAGACCTGATAATTTGGTCCGCTTTAAACGAACCAGAGTTCGTTTCCAGCGTTGGTCTAGACCTTTTGTGCAGGTGTGAATACACTCATGCGAACTCTGGTGCGGATCAAACAATCAGACCGAGACCTGCTTTTTGAGGTGGTCTCGGTCCGCTTCCAAATGAACTCTGGTGTGGTTCGCTTCAGTTCACTTCTGGTGTGAATACAGACCGGACTCTAACCGAACCAACTGCATTAAACATGCACCTTTTTGGACTTCGCAGGCTACCGTTGCTGAGCTAAATAAACTGAAAACATACCTGATTCGTCGTCTCCTGTTAGCAGCTCTGCTGCAGCATGTAGTGGGTCAGAACACAGAGAGCACCTCGTCTCCTTTGGGTTGCGGGACACATTTACTGACGCCGCTCCAAAATTAGAATATCATCACGGAACCACCATTAAATTAGCTGCTTCTGACATTTTAAATGCTATTGCAGTTGCACTATCAGTAAAATGTGCGCATCAGAACCGCAGCATGCAGGACTTCCTTGTTTTCTTCTGGATCTGTGGCTCAGTCCCGCCCCCGTCCTTTTTTTGTCCAATGGGAGCAATGATCGTCACACTCGTGGCTTTGTTTACAAGTTATAGTTCATTTGCAAAAAAGCACAATGTGAATGCAAAATGCACCAAACGAAAAAAAATAGTCCATTTTTGGTCCGGACCAAACAATTGGACCAAAGGACTTTCCTGGTCTGAATACACCCTAACTGAATATAGATGGGATCATCACTACACAGTTTGGTCTCTGGAACCCAACTCCTGGAGAGAGGCTGGAAACTTTAGAGTTGCCCAGGGAGAAAGATGTGTTTGGGGATACTCACAAGCCTCCAGGTGAGTACCTCAATCTTGGAGTTTTCCCTCACAGAGCTAGAGGGAAGATTCTTGCTGTTGTTTGTGCTTATACATCAAACAGCAGTTCAGATTACCAGGCCTTCCTGAGTGTCTGAATGGGGTCCTGAAATGGGTGACTTCTGGAGATCCCCTTGTTCTGCTGGGCGACATCAATGCCAATGTGGGCAATGAGGGAGTTTTCTGGAAGAGGGTGATAGGGAGTAACAGCCTGATTTGAACCTGAACCATGTTCTGTTTGGACTTCTGTGTTAGACGTTGGATGTCCATAATGAACACCGTGTTCAAGCATCGGGTGGTCCTATAAAGTATGTGGGAGAGGCTGCCGAACAGACCTGGCAAACCCAAACATAGTGAGGGTGAACTTGAAGCATTAGATTGAGGCACTGTCCATTCCATCTTCAACTCACACCTCAAGGAGATTTCTTCACATGTCCTTTTCCATGGTCCGTGTTCCATGTGCTCGGTTTGGGTGTAAAACTGCTGATCCAGTCTGAGAATATTGTTCCGGGGTGGAAGGAGTACTTCGTGGATCTCCTTAATAAGTTCACTATGTCCACCTTTGTAGGGGCAGAGTCTGAGGACTAGGGGGAAGATAAATCCATTATCATGCTATCATGATCTCCTCTACAAGTAATCATCTCTTAAATCCCATTTTAAATTTCTTGTTGAAATCTTTGATCTAAAATGCAGTATGTTTCTTTAATTGTTTAAGAGCAAAGTGAACACTATTCGATCTCAGCTCTTTTAGCTTTCTTGTTCTCCCTCTCCCATCTACCCGTCTCCATCCTGTGTCCTTTAGCTGTTTTGCTGAAGTTGCTTATAGTGAAGTTGAGAAAATCATTAAGAAAATTAAGCCATCAACCTGTACCCTTGGATCCTTTCGCTATGGTTCTCATAAAATATAATCAATCTGCCATAAGTCCATTGATTACTTAAATAATAAATTGGTAAAATCTGGCCACATTTCATTATCTCTCAAAACTGCTATCATCAGACCTCTTTTGAAAATATCCAATCTGGATCCAGAGATCCTTTCTAATTTTCATCCTGTTTTCCACCTCCCCTTTCTGTCTAAAGTGCTGGAAAAAATGTTTGTATCATGGTCCGTGTTTATTTTTACCTTGGTTTTTCTAGTGTTTCTGTGTTCCCTGTGTATAGTTTAGTTTAGTGAGAAGACATCCCCAATTTACACTACATGTGTCTCCACTCTGCTCCAGTCCGTCCTCCGCAGCAAATATGCAACCATTCTAATCAATGAGAGTATTTACACTGGCTGCGCACTGCGGCAGTGAGCGGATGGCAATCCTTCAAAATTAGAACAGATCCTATTTTTGCCAGATGCCGGAGCTGCTCCGGAGTCAATCTACAAAGATCATGTCGCACAAACAGGAAAAGGAACAAGCACAACATCCATATTTTCAAAATAAGACACCATAAGGCAGAGTAATTTATTGGAATAACATCGAAATCCCAGCTATATTAATCAATCTATGGATATATTTCTACGCAAATGCTATCAGAATGTATGGTTCTGTTTACAGATGGCAACATGGAGCATGAAGCATATGTGTACACACACGATACACATGGATTTTATTTTGAAAGCAGAAGTTTCAAAAAGATGACAGCGAAACAGTTTCAACCATAGATATCAAAAGCTTTTTATATCAATGTTTACAGCTGTATTTGTAGTTCATCTTTCACAGAATTAATTTTTTTTGCTCTGACTTCCACATTTATCACTGGATTTATCGCGCAATCTCCTTCCTGCACACGCTTCCTCCTCTGTGTGTCGCACTGGAGCTGTGCTGAGCGGAGTGGAGGCTGTAGAAATTGGGGCACAAACGAACAGCTGCAGCCTGCGCACCGTAGCGAAGCGGAGCAAAGTCACATGTAGTGTAAATCTGGGGTTACACTCTTCAAAACAGTAGCATTTTCTGCTGAAAACCAAATATGTTGTCCTAAGCAGCAAAGTATAAATAGTTAGCATCTTGCGTTAGCGTTACTAAATAATAGTAAGCCTATTTTTGCAACAGGCTGTAACATAACACCTTTCATGCTTCAAGACATGATACAGCTGCATACCTTTATCTTTTGCTCATTTCTCCTCTCCTTTTTTTCTCTTTTTCCTAATCTCAGCACCTGACAGTTTTGACCTTTTCTTGTCCATTTTTCATGTGTAATTGGCACTCAAGCACTCAAGTAGTAGGTTATCACTGCCCATCCCTCACGAGTCAAAACAACTTGGGCCTAAACTAATTCACCTTCCTTGGTGTGCAGATTAGATTTTTTATAACTTTCTCAGCAAATTCACACAAATAAGCTGTGAACTGATGGCTATATTCACTATATTATTAGTGAAATGTTCTTACTTCATGAACTACTATTAGGAACACATTTAGATACATCCCTCCGTGGCTCCACTCCCTGACCCTACAAATAAGATCAGAGAATCTCCCGTCGCCCTCTACCATCCCTTTCTTTCTCACGCTGTGTGTGTCGGCTCTCAGCCGCAGGCTACACTCGCTGCACCTGGCAGAGGGCACCGCCCTCTTTCTGTGAGTGTATGCATCAACTTGTACGGATTGTCCGTAAGTTATAAGGATTTTACATCATTTTGCAGGTATATGGACATATAGAGCAATCTTACTGATTTTTTCAAGTCTTACGAATTTTTTCAAAACCTCATTTTCAAATTTATCTAACATGTCAGGTCTGCAGGATGATTAAAAAACAACAAATAACATCAAATAGCCATCTTCCAATTTGTTCATCCACTAGAATTAAGTTTTGAACCTTTTCCGCTTTCAGCCCCCCCCCACCGCGGGTGCGAGTTGTACAGATTTTTTGCAAAATTTACGGATTTTTGAGGCTCTTTATACAGGTAAACGTCCGAAGAGGTTGACATGTATGTGAGTGGGTGATAGGAAAGGAAACCGTAATAATGTTTTGAGGGGCGGGGCAAACTTTTTGAGGGGCTTGGCCAGTTGCTCTTGCGCCTTGACCAGATGCTACCCTGGCCAACTGCCCACCTTGACCATGCCAGAAACCACTACTGGTTTTGTGCAACAGGTCCCTGGACCTATTGCCTCTGCAAACTTGACTTTAGATATGGGATAGAAGATGGACTTGAAGATAAAAGGCATTGGGCCTCATGCAAGAACCGTTCGTACGCACAGATTTGTTCTTAAGTTGTGCGTACGAGTGATTTAGGAGAATTTGTGGCATTCACC